TTATTATACAAAATATGAATAAAGCAGAATTCTATCATATTTAAAAAATTATAAACTAAAAAATGCAAGAAATATAAAGAAAATTGCAGATAATGTATATAAATTATAATGAAAAATTTAACATCAAAAACTTGCTATCTTGCTATCTTAATGTTATACTTTTGCGGTGTTTTTAGTGTGAGCAAGAACTTTTGACATGAACCTCTGTACTGGCACCGCCATTGTTCGTCTCCATAAAAGACAAAAGGAAATAAAATAAGAAAACATACGAAAGCCCGGATTCGCTGGTGGTCACCCACCCAACTACTAGCAGGCCGGCGGGTGGCTTGAGTACGGCTGAGCGGACGGGAAGCCCTATTTTCCACTCCCTATGTTCGTATGTGATAGAGGAGGTGGTGGCTTTGTCCCTTATAGTGGCAGACAGATTACTATTACTGTAAAATGCAGATGAAGTATTTTAGTAGTAGCAAAATGCCGCCAAATAAGGGAAAGTGTCCATGTATTCTTTGAAGCTGAAAAAGGGCAAGGAGGAGGAGAAAAAGAAATGAGGTCTGTACCGTTGGAATAACATTTGTTTCACAGCCTTTGATACAATAATCTTCATTCCTCTCCTTGAGCTCAACATGGCCGCGCACGGCCCAGTCCCAGGTCAAAAAGAGAAAAAGCAAGGATGAAGAAAGGCGTGACAGGATACCTTGTCACCAGCCGTCTTCCACTGTGCATATGCAGCGGGAGTGACGGGCCTGCCGCAGTGCCGCTCGCAGACATAATTATTTGGCCAGCCACTTGCCATCCTGTATCAACCAGGTGGGCCTTGGCCTCTTGGTCAACCGTCAGAAAAAAGGTTTTAGGATGAGGAGTTAGAGCTGGAAACTCGATAAAGATAAAGGTTTGACGCTGTTTAAATTACATGACAGATTAGCTGCTTGCTACATTGTTATGACTGTGCGTATCATCTACCTGGTATGGATAAGAAGATGTTTTGTCCCTTCAATATCATGTTGGCTCTTTGCTTTCTGTCATTCGTTTCCCGTCCTCTTCCAAACGCAGTATTAAAGACAGACAGGATGACCTCAAGCGGGAAAAAACCGCTACCACTCCTCTGACAGAAACACCAGAAACCCTCCTTTCAGACAGGAATATAACTTGAACATAAACACAGCCAAACTTACAATTCGGACCCTGAAGGCTGTAAGCGAACCCTGTCAAACTAATACCTATTTCGCCATTGGAAACTTTCGGAGGCTAGAAACATTTGCCTACCGAGAGACTGGGCTGGGCCACCTTTTTTTCAAGTCGCCACTTGACATTTTGGGGCAAGAAAGAATCACGCATGTGGGCACTGTGTGGGGGATCAGGTCCTCCCAATTATTGAGCTTTGTTACTCTTTTCTTGTCGAACTATATCTCTGTGAACTTTTGGGAGGCAACATGTCAGATGGCTGGTTGGTGGTGGTAAGCTCTAACCCCAGGTTTAAGGCCCAAGCGTCCCGGTGATAAACTGGCACTTGGCCGGAGGAAGGTCCGAGGATTGGGTTATTTTTTATACTTTTCTTTTGAACAGTGGCTTGTTTCCAACTCTGGAAGCGACATACCCCGGGATTGTTGGGACATGATATACTAGTACTGCTAAGCAGAGGGGCAAACGTCTGAGGCGTGCTGGGATAACCATTCTGTTAAGGACTCTACTCCGCAGAAGATGATCGAGATAGCCTTCATAACAATGCGAGAACAACAGCTGTCTTTGATGCGAACCTGGCTGGCTGGCAATTTTTTCATCTCCGTCTGAGAGCTACTGAACTAACTGTTAACCAAGCCCCTTCAACTACATGTCATGCGTATTCTTGATGTATCCGCCGCCCGCGGCGATCAGGGTTTCCCACCTTAGCTTTTTCCTTATACGAGCTTACTCTGATTCAGCCAACAGCGAATCTCCAGAGAAAGCTGGGCAAGAGCTGATGATCTTCATCAGTTATTCTGGGGCTGAGGCCATCCGTTGAGGAAAGTCTGTTTCATGGCTCATGCGCTTGCTTGCAAGGGTGGGCTGGAGTGTCAACTTGGGTTCAAGGTCCATAGCTTCCCCCATCTGCCTATTCATGGAATTATGTAATACCTATTTTTTTTCCAGCACAGATAGTTATTATGATCATTATTGTTATTATTATTATTCCTATTCAAGGTAAGCAGCTGCGATTGATGTGTTGTGATGGTCAGGGTAATCTCTACCGTTCGTCTGCGCAATGTTTTCGACACTGAAGATAGAACAAGCAAAGGCCCGTATTGTTTCCCTTAGTGCTCTGATAGGAGAGAGTGGTGTTGTGAAGGTGGTCGCTGTAGACTTTTCATTTCCTTTCACTGGTGAAGGTTTTACATATACTGTATGTATGTACCGTATCTATATTTTCAAAGTTCCATCGATGATTCTTATTGGTCATCGCCATATCGCTGCCGATAATAAACGGATGAAGGTTTGAATCAGTTTTCTGCAAATAGGCGCCAAGAGCCAATATAACTAATGACAGTATCGCGTGTATGCATGATGATGATGTTCGTCAAGCAGATTTCCTTCACATGATAGGAAGCCATTGTCAAAAGCAAATCATTTTTCCCAGAACAAACTGTGGCAGCAGAACACACGGTACATGTAGGTACTCTGCCCATCCCATCCACAGGCACACATGACCATTGAAAAGATCAAAACCTGGGATGCTGGTGGAAGTCTATTACCCTGCTGAACTGCGGTTTCGAACCTACTTCTCCTTGCCTATTAGTGTGTGAAAGGTCGTTGTAGACATGAAAGACCCTTTGATGTTGATCGGAGCAAAGAGCAAGAAATCTGCAACAACCGAAGCAAGTTTGGCTACAGGACATGAAGGAGGATGATGGCTGGAAATACCATGCGCTAGTAATTAGGTCGATAAATCCCACGAGGGTTCTGTGTCGTTGTCTCAAAAGGGTTCACATTCAGGTTTTACTCAGGCAGTTAGGCTTGATGAGCAAATGCCCTAATGCAGTCTTTCGTCTTGGAGAAAAGTGCATTCTACCAGCTTGAGAGTTGAACCAGCCTGTCGATGAATGAAGTCAACCCTGCTTCTGCGACCTAACTGCCAATGAATTTCTCTCCTGTGTAGTAGTCAACCTGTCTTCTAGACAATGCGGACGTGAAACCTGAACCGGTGGGCATCACATCCGCTTTTTGCTCAGACAGCGTATCTCATCGTCGCATTTTATGCTGATAACGATTAGAGAAAAACAAGTAAAACCCACTTTCCAACTGCACGTTTTACCGCTGTGCTTCTTGAAACAGCCCAGGTTTCTGAGACTATGCATCAGCAGAGGAAAAATATCGTGGATATTGGTGGAGAGACCTCAGCGGCAGACGAGATCCAGGTCAGCGCCTCCAATGGTGAATGCAACTCAGGTGATTGGCTCTCGCGCTTTGGTTGTAATCCCTGCGTCTGGAACGAGGATTTGCGCCTCCAGCCGCCGCTCACTGGATGAGTGATGTTCCTGGATCTGATTCCCTGCTGTGGCTTGCTTGTTGTCCTTTTGCAGATAATATTAAAATCGAAGAATAGATGAATGGAACAACGAATCCGTCAAATAACAACAACAACAACAACAATGATAACTGCCTTGATTTGTTTTTTTCCTTTTCCCCCCTCTTTGCTGTGGACTTGTCGTCGATTTCGAATTGTGAGGTTGGGTGTGCTGTTAGTTATGTATCAACAGGGTAAGGTCGGGTTTGATAAGCCATTATTATTGTGTGCGCAGAGGGAAACGCTGCAGAAAACGGCCACGCACAGTGAAACTATCCCAGAATTAGCTTGTCCTGTCCAATCCGAGCCGTCGCCTAGAGCATAGCTCAGGTTGATGCCTGAACGCCCGTGTGGGGCATTCATGGCTTTGCCATATTCCTGGTTGGCTGGTGTTCGAACATTTTCTGATGATGCTATGCAAGCTTCAGCGACGCAGTTTGTGAATCGAAAAATAGAATGTACTGTACAAATTCCGTGGACACACTTCTTGCGCCTCATCAAAAATATGCTGATGTGGATTCAAGCGCGCAAAGCCTGCAAGTTTCTGCTGCGGTGGAGGGAGCTTTGCGATTTCAAAAACGCGAAATTACCAGGTAACGACGGTGGGTGTTGGTGTATTACGATAGTTCAAGACACAGCTCGCTGGCACGAAATATCCCTGCAGAGCTGGGGTATTTTACAGTCCTCGTACCAAAGATGCCCAAGTGAAAGCCAAGGCCAAAAAATTGAGCGACCACCTCCAAACCGGGCTACTTCAGTACATGCACAATGTTTGGATGTCTTCTGCTGCATCTGGAGCAAGGACCGAGGTTCCGCCGGCCATACAACGTGCAGTGCTGGGCCACCATGTCTTCATTATGCTTTCCTGCGTCCAGAAGGTTTTGGTTCCCAGCACCTCTGTCCTGGTTCGTGGGAAGTGTATAATTCGGTCCCGAGATTCGGGAAACATCTTGCCTTTCCTCTTCCCCTGGTAATTTTTCCACCCAGTCTGCTTGTACGGTACGGATACATCGTGCGCAGACGATAGCCGTGGATTTCCTCTGTTGAGACCCCAAGTGCTGTGGAGCCCGTCACCTCGTCCCATCCTACAGAGCACAACGGAACCAAGAGCGCTGTATTTATATGTTACAGCCTTACAGATCAGTGGCCTACCAATACGCACAGCGTACGGAGCAGGAGGACGAATTGGAGTAGCCCGTATTGGCGTGTACCGTGCTCCGTATACGCTAGGGTTAGTGGCCCTGCTCTGTATTGTCGGGACCTAGGAACCCGCGCTGGGAGGGCGCTTAGCATGCTTAGTGCCGTGGCGTCGGAAGTGGAGTGTAAGATACCGTAATACCGCAGTACCGTTTTGTGGGGTATTTGTAATCTGGGTATCCGTCCCATAAGCCGCAGCCCAAATCCTCCCCGATTCCCAGCCTGGAGCCGCTGCCGAGTCCCTCTGACGTTGGACCAACCACGACCTCAACCTCACCTCTTCTCCCTCCCTCCTCTCCACCAACTGCTCGGATTCACAGCCGCCCCTGTTCAAGAGTAAATCTGACCCTTTGGGGATTCCGCTTCTCTGCAGGCTCGTGAAACGGGTTTGGGATCAAATTGTCGGGTGGTGCTTCAGCGACAGGCAGTCCTGGCTCCATGTGTCCGCTGGCGCAATTGGAAATCAGCACGGATCCACCCTCTTCTTCTCCTTATATTGTCCAACTATCGTCATCCATAACATAGTTGCCGCCCACCTTCCTGGTTCCTGCGACGTTCCTTGCGACGTGCTTTCGCTGTTTCCTGTTTCTCCTGCCACGATAGATTATCGCTCCATGATAACCAAGAGCATTCATTCTTAGATCTAAGTTGAGGGGTGGAAAAGACTAGAGAGAAAAAAAGGCTGAGGGATCCGCTGAACTACTAGGGACATTAACGCTGGTCGTGTAAACGGGTGTTGCAAGACCGCCCTTCCTTCGACCTTCTTCCTGCTTTGTTCTGAATTTGTCGCAGCTACGGACGATAAGCTCCTCCATTCCGGCAGCCAACGCCCCACCAATTGCGAGGAGCAAGTAGAGTTTCTTCTTATCGATAGATGGGTTTGGATGGATTGATTTCGACTTTTGCTCGCAGCAGTGCCAAGTGCGTCTCTGGTCGCTCATAATCTGCCCATACTTTCTCTTTTCAATCATTGAATAAACCTCCTCGAGTACCTGCTGGTAAGCTTGCCGTATTCTGTTTTTTATGCGGATATGACTATCTCCTTCATTTAAAAGCTCCCATTTTTGAAACACTGAGAGAGTTCCATGCCATCAATTTACACCAGTCTCCGGAGTTAATTTCTAATGCCCTAATGAATACCGTTTACTAATCCCGGTCCCCCATCACAGGTTTTCCTGCTATACGCCAGTCTTGCGCGTGGAGTTAAGCGCTGAGCCCTTCGTTCAAATCATTAAGATAGAGCACGGCTCTAAACCAACACCCACCATTCGCGGAACAGTAGTCATTTTGCATCCTACATTCATTAGTCTGGATAACGAACCGGAGAAAACGAAGAACGTGTCCTACAAATTTGTAGTTCGAGTACCATGTTGTCAGATGTCATGACGGGCCAAACCTCCGCCGACTCCCAACCTGGGCACGAGCTCGTTTCGATCAGTGAGAGTACGTCTACCACCACCGGTAAACGTAAAGGAGCCGTTTACTCTGTAATTACTTCTTTGCATATATAGCTTCTAATTTTGCTTTAACAGCGCCTCCATCAAAATCCGATACAGCTGTCGCCAGTGGGAAACAGCAAACTGAAAATTCCGATATTCCTCCACCAAAAACCGATAAACCTAGGCCTCATGTTTGCACAACGTGCGGCAGATGTTTTGCCCGTCTAGAGCACTTGAAACGTCATGAGCGGTCTCATACCAAAGAAAAGCCTTTTGAATGCCCTGAGTGCACCAGATGCTTTGCACGAAGAGACCTCCTTCTACGACATCAGCAGAAGCTCCATATGACGTCCGCCCCGTCATCCCGGCCTAAAACCGCGCGACGAGAAAGCACCAGCGGCGCCGGACCAGGATCAACTCGGGTCCGCAAAAATTCCATTGCTAATAATGGGAACACCGGCAATAATATGAGGCCGCGAGCGAATACTATCAGCCATCTGGATCGTTCGTCGCTTGGGATCATCGGTGTTGGGAATCCACCTAGTTCAAGACCGCCTCATCTCACTCACACCAGTCACCCGAGTTTAAGTTCGATACCTGGTCTTCCTAACTACGGATTTCGGGGCCTTCCTTCCGAGCAGCAGAATATCAACAATGGCTTGACAAAACTAGATACTGGCATTCCTATGGACCTGACTAATGGCCTGCGGACCGCACCTGTTCTTGGTAGTTTCAACGAGGCAAACTTCGGGGACATGATATTAAACCAGGAAAACAATACCATTAACCCTGCTCAATTACATTTTGGATCGCCTCACCCTTTTGGTAGCGACACTGCGACATCATCCTTCCATCAAACATTTTCGGGCTTGCCCTCACAGAGCATTATCGACGATGATCTCAACCCGGACTGGCTGCACGGGTTTGAGAATACAATGACATTCGCCAACGCGAATGAGTCTGCGATTGATGGTTCGTCACCTTCAGCCATGAGCACAGGAAGTCAAAGCGGAATCAGTGAAGTGATGTTGGACGGATCGAACCAAGCAGTGGTGAGTACCTCAGGTCCATGGTCTAATCCTCCGCTTGTCCATTCCCAAACTACGAACAACCAGTTCAACCTAGAATTTACGTCCCCTTTCGCGGATATGCAATCCGAAGCTGTTTCGCCTAAGTCCCTGCTTGGACAGAACCATTTTTCTGACCAGTCGTTCTCTGCTCGACCTACGAGGATTCAATCTGGATTGTCTGGAGTACCAAACAATATTTTTCATCCCCCATTAGTCACAAACGGAGATATAGGGGATTCTTCCGGAACAACCGGACATAACAACTTTGCACCCAATTCCACGTCGTCGATGTCCACGGAAACCATTACCGAGTCCACTCGTCAAGCTCTCCTGGCTAATCTACATCAGCCTTCGGGTATCTCTCATCGTCGATTCTCCCAGCCAACAAACGCCCAATTTTCCTGCCCCGGCACAATCCCCCGTCAACACTCTGTTAGCAGTAGCGCATATGCTCTTCCGAGTACAATTGATCTCCAACGTTACATCGCAGCATATGTCACCTATTTTCACCCACACCTGCCCTTCCTCCATATTTCCACCTTGGATTTTGATTCTCCCGAATACTCTGGAAGCCTAAAAAATCCTAGTGGACAACTAAACTCTGGATCGCTTCCTGTTTCTGGTGGAGGTGGATGTTTGATTCTCTCCATGGCAGCTATTGGTGCTTTGTATGAATTCGAAACCGCGACATCCCAAGGAACTCTTTGCATCTGCAAAAAAAATGATTCAAGTATACCTTGACGAGCGGAGAAAGGCAGGCATATCTGCTGCACTTAACCGATCAAGCTCCCCTCGCGACAATTCCGTTCGCAATACTCCACTATGGCTAGTTCAGGCAATGCTCTTAAATGTCATATATGGGCATAACAGCGGTGACAAAACTTCGGCTGACATTGCGAATACTCATTGCGCTGCTTTGGTTAGTTTAGCCCGGGCTGCGGAATTGACCCACCCCATAATGGCCGAAAACCTCCCTCCTGATCAACTTGGATATACCCCTGGAGGGGGGGATATGCATATGGATGGTATAAATGCCCAAGCGTGGCATGACCACAGAGAATGGATGCGGTGGAAAATAGTGGAAGAGCGAAAAAGAACACTCTATGCTATTTTTACTTTGTCCAGCCTTTTGGTTTCTGCTTACAACCATTCTCCGCCGCTTATGAACTCGGAAATTCGACTTGATTTACCATGCGACGAACAACTCTGGGCTGCGGAATCCGCTCAGGCTTGGGCATCATTGGGTGGAACAACAGCTCATCATAGGGAAATACCGTTTTCTGTGGCCCTGACAACGCTCCTTACCGCTAGTCACCGACGACAATCGGGCTCCCCGCAACAAAAGCATTTTAGCGTAAATGCTCCCGGCGACGACCACCCTCAAAGCGATGTGAAACCAAGTACGTTTGGCTGTTTGGTACTGATACATGCCTTGCATAACTATATCTGGGAAACTCGACAGCGACATATTGGCCGTCCTTGGACGCCACAAGAGACAGAGGCAATGCATGCCCATATTGAACCTGCTCTTCGGGCTTGGCAGGCGGCATGGAGTGCCAACCCTAGGCATAGTCTTGAGCGGCCAAACCCGTACGGCCTGGGACCTCTGTCGGCAGATAGCATACCTCTCTTGGATCTTGCTTATATTAGATTATTCGTTAACTTGGGTCGGTCCAAGGAAGCATTCTGGCAAAGGGATTGGAACGGCATGGCTGACGAACTGGCAAGAGGAGCGGAAATTATTCAACATGCAGATGACCCTAGAGCTGATTATCCTTCCCAGGACCACCAGCTTGAGGGAGGAAATCAAGCCAGCGGCAGGCGAGCTTCCATTAGTGAATACGGCGTGGCAGACTTGACACTCACTGGTAACGTGAATCAAGAACATAACATGCAGAACAATATTTCGCAGCAGCAGATAGAAGCATCAAGACGTGAACGTCATCTTCGAAAAGCAGCCTTCTACGCGGCTGACTCAATATCTATGTCTGATAAGTTAGGAAACACCTATGCTGAGTTCACGTCGCGGGAGCTTCCTATCCAAAGCGCATTGTGTGCGTTTGACTGTGCCCAGATCTTGGCCGAATGGGTAACTACAATTCAAGAACGCATTGGTCCGTATCTCGGGATTTTGGGACAGGATGCGATGGATTTGACCCAAGTTCCCGGAATAATGCTACTGGAAGACGAAGATTACAAGCTGATTCAAAAGATCCAAGAAATCCTCAGCAATGTTGAGGCAAAAATGAAGGATGCTTCGCATCATCCTGGTACATCTGGAAACGAGCCATCCAATTGTCTGCCCAGCTTGGTCGATGGCGGTTTTGGTACAAAGATTCTGTTCTCGACGGCTTACCTTCTGGACAGGGCGGCTGTTTGGCCAGGTGAGAATATCCACTAATTCGAATACGATATGTTCTTCATTTTCTTTTGCTAATTAAATTTCTATCCTGTATTATACAGTTACAAAATTGATGGCTCGGGCCCTCGAGACTCAGGGACTCCGGATGAGAGAGAGGGCGCAAAACTCGGTTCTTGCTGGGTAATCAGGGAAAGGACCAGCAAAGCATTATACATACCAGCTTCTTGCATACTGGACATTGAGTTGACGTCGCGACCTCGAATTTTTATCATCTATGATGATGGGTTTTGGCCAGTACAACTACTCCTGTCGTTGATCGAGACAGCTGTGCGTGTCATCCACATTGGGGTATGGACCCATTCACGCCATACTTACAGAGCAGTTTTGGCGCTTTGCACCAACGCCGTCTTGGTTGCTGCTCATGCGGCCGTGTGACTTTACAATCCAGGATCCCATAGAAAGTGTTTCCACCTGCTTAAAGTCTTCCGAAAACACTGCAAGTACTCGAATTATTACATCATAAAAAAAATTCCCCTTTTCCCACTCCCCGCGTTCCGGATTAACGATTACGAAGATTTACGTCTTGTCATGCCATGGTACAGGGTTCGGTCTTATTCATCACAAATGGGCGGTTGGGGCTATACAAAGACAAAATATTTTTACTTTATTGCAAGAATAAGGCTGGTCTTTTCCGTTTGTTATTTTTTCGGATACGGGGAACAAAAGCACAATGGGAAACATGGGGAAAAAAGAATCGAAAAGGCTGGGAAAGCATGCGGCTCATTTCATTCACTTACAGCATCGTGCTTCGCATTGCATACATACCTACACGAGCACTTAATACTCATACATCGGGATCCTCTATGCTCGCTACTGGTGATGGCCGGGTAGATTTTCTGTTTTTCGTGTGGTCTTTTTTTTTTTTCTTCTTTTTTTTTGCCTTCATCCCCTCCCGCCACTCATCCTGATTTCCGTTTTCTTGGAATGTACCCCTCCACCCGCGATTATATAACACTTTCGATATATTGCCGATGCTTGAATTGTTTTTTTTATGACAGTTATCTACCTGGCGATCTACTTTATTCTCACATCTTGCCCCCGCCCATGTAGTTCGAACCCCGACACGCTGTCAGTTAAGTTATGCATGCATGGTTTTGTCTACGGGAAGACTCGGTGTTTAATGTCATGAACTGATGATTTTTTATGACTAGGTATATCGATGTATCATGTTTTCTTTTTTATTTTATCTGTTAATTCTAATCATTTTTCCCTCCGTCGACTACTTATGATGAA